GAGCATTTGCTGAGTCAGGGACACAGGACGGGGCCGGGGGGAGCTGGAGCGTGGGAGGTGTTGGGCTCCACGTGGGACACGGTGAGTCTGAGTGCCCATAGCATGTCAGGTGGGCCGTGCGGGGACAATCTGACATGCAAGTCCATCACTCAGGAGAAAAGTGTCTGCTCCAGACCCTGATTTGGCAGTGAGTATGCGAAGCTGAGCCACTGGTTGTGCATGAAACAGACACACAAAAGGCTGAGTGTGGAAGCCAAGAGGGGTGACATCGAACTCCTGACATACACTCCTTGAGATCAGAAACCATGTCATTTCTCTTGCTTTATCTTTTATTTATTTATTTTTTTTTTTAAAGATTTTATTTATTTATTTGAGAGAGAGAATGAGAGACAGAGACCACGAGAGGGAAGAGGGCAGAGGGAGAAGCAGACCCCCTGCTGAGCAGGGAGCCCGATGCGGGACTCGATCCCGGGACTCCAGGATCATGACCTGAGCCGAAGGCAGTCGCTTAACCAACTGAGCCACCCAGGTGCCCTCTCTTGCTTTATCTTTTAAAGGTGCCAGAGACAGGACTGGCCCTCCTCCTGTGGAGGGTTGCGGCAAAGATCCCATAGCATAAGGGATAGGAAGGGCTGCTTTAATATGGAGAAGCACAGTCCAGGATTGATTGTTGTTAGGACTACCATCCTCCTCCTCCTGCCCCAAACCCCCATACCTCCTACAGGCGGCAGGATGAAAGCAGCCCTGGTCCTGCTGCCTCATCTCCCAGCCTCGCCTTTCCCAACCCGGCCTGGCCCCTCCGCACTCGGTCTGCGCTTCTTCCCACCTCCCAGGGCAGATATCCTCTGAAGGGCCGCATTGCAAGTCTGGAGCTGGTTTTTCCAGGAAATCCAGTATTTTGAACGCAGCCATTCAACGTGAGATACATTCCCCTTCCACCTGTTATGTGCCAGCAGCTGACACTTTAAAGGATATTTGGACCAACCAACCCGTCAGCAGCCTGATTTCCGCCTCCCCTCTCATGGGAGGCTTCCATGGCCCCTGACCCACCCTGGAGTACCAGCCTCCTGCCAGCTCAGGCCCCGCTTGGCATTGTCCCTGCTCAACACGCGTCCCTGGGTCTCCGGTCTCTGGGTCACTTGCCGGCTCAACAGCAGCTGCAGCTGCCCACCCTGGGCACACAACTGCATGTGTCCAGGGAGAAAAGTGTCCCTGGCCCAGCAGAGGCCCTGGGCGTCGCCTCAGCGGATGGCACTGGACAGGCTTGGTGCCAACTGTGTCCACCAGTGATTCATGAACAGGCAGGAATTCAAGTTCTTCTCTCTCCCCCCGACCCTGGGAAAGGTCACTTTGCCTAATTTTCTTCTTTCATGGTTGAGCCATTGCACGGACACATTTATTTCTGTTGCCTCCTGGCTTGATCATTTTTCAGTTACAGTTTGTCCCTCCAATTCTAGCAGAGGGCTAATGTGGGTCTCGTCCCGATCATAGATCCGCATGAGTGAAACCCTAACTAGGCATTTCCTTTAGCTGCCAGCGTAGATTACTTGGTGCGAGAAGTCTGCAGGCATAAGCCTAGTCTGAGCTAAAAGCCTGTTTAGATGCCCAATCAGGAGGTACCTGAGGAAGCTCCCCAGCATTCCTGCCTGTGAATCTAGCTGAGGCTGCTCCCCACTCCCAGAAGACCCTCCCTTTCGACCTTGGAGAATATAAATTTTGCGGTCTTTTATGAGCCATATTAAAATGAGATAAAATGTATCCCCTTTCAAATTGCCAGGATTCTATATTTTATTAATACTCAATGTGGTAAGGGTACAACTCATGAGCACTCTTATAGTCTGCGGGCAAGAGAATAAATAGACATAAACTTTTGCAGAAAAAAAAAATTGACAGTGTGTATCAGGAGCCTTCAAAATACCTTCAACCTGGGCACCTGGGTGGTTCAGGTGGTTAAGCCTCTGCCTTCGGCTCAGGTCATGATCCCAGGGTCCTGGGATCGAGTCCCACAACCAGCTCCTTGCTCAGCAGGGAGTCTGCTTCTCCCTCTCCTTCTGCCATTCCCTCTGCTTGTGCTCTCTGGCTCTCTCTGTCAAGTAAATAAAATCTTTAAAAAAAATATCTTCAACCTTTGGCCCAGTAGTTCTACTTCCATGAATCTTTCCCAAAGATATAATCAGAAATGCACACAAATACTTATGCATAAAGAAATACAGCACTATTGGGCGCCTGGGTGGCTCAGTTGGTTGAGCGACTGCCTTCGGCTCAGGTCATGATCCTGGACTCCCTGGATCGAGTCCCACGTCGGGCTCCCTGCTCAGCAGGGAGTCTGCCTCTCTCTCTGACCCTCCCCCCTCTCATGCTCTCTATCTCATTCTCTCTCTCAAATAAATAAACAAAATCTTTAAAAAAAAAAAAAAAAGAAATACAGCACTATGTTACAGTATCTTTTATATTGCTGTTACATAATTAATACCTGATAATAAGGGAATATTTAAATATAGTGTAGTATATCCATATTATACAGCCATCAAAACTGAAGTTGGTAAAGGCATTTTAATGCTGACATTAAGTGAATCTAGCAAACTTTCAAATTGTAGACCCAGTGTGATCCAAACTGACCTTCCCCCACTGTTTCACAGGATGCTTATAGGAATGCTATAAATAGAAAAGTTCCATTTTCCAACAAGGTTGGAAAGTTATAGGCATATACTTTGATGCTACTGGAAGCCTTGTATAGGCAAATAAAATGGGAAATAAAAAAAAATTAGGCTCAGTGTACAGGGTCACTGTTTTTATGCAGGGCATCCTAGGGACTGCTGCTCATGAAGCACATTTCAGAAAACCCTGGAGGCAACACCTAGGAAAAGATTGCCATGTTGAAAGGGGTCATGGCTACTGTTAGTCATGGAATTATTTTCTTTCTTCCTTGGAATTTTTTGAATTGCCCTACAAAAATGTCACAAGTGTCATGAAAGGAAGCGAGCCAGAGGATCATTCTCCACCCAGCGTCAGCAGGTGTAGAGTGCTATAGTCAGCCAGCACACGGATTCAAAATGGCAGTCAAGCCTGAGAGGACAGCGGCGCAGAGGGTGGGATGGAGGCCAGGAGAGGGGAGCCGCCCAGCGCTGCCTGGTTGACTCTCATGCTCTGCCTACATTGCAAAGGGCATGGGGTGCAGTCAGGGTCACAGCTCTGCCACGTGCTCCTACCCCACCCGGGGACTGGCCAGGGATTTCTCCATGCCTCAGAGATCATCCCCAGGATGGGAGCCATCTTCCCACGTTCTGGAATATGCTGCCTGCCTATTCTTGATTGCAGACTTCAAGTCCAAGGTGCATTGGATGGGCCTGCTTGGATTTGATGCCTCCTCCTTAGTTCCCCACTCTTCTACTACCCCTAGACTCTGTCTCCAGGTCTTCCTCTGTGCCACTCCCACACCACTGGGTCAGCCCAAGAGCCTGCCCCAGCCCAGCATCTGGTCTCAGGCATGTAGCCAGAGGGATGTAAACTTGGTTAGGACCTCAGAAGCAGGTACTGAGCTGTACATGCAGTGGGGTGTAACAGGATTTTGGAAATACTTGCTTGGACACCTCCTGATTACCGTCCAAGGGCCCCTAAAATATTCATCAGGCTTTATCAGGCTAATGGGCTTCAAAAGGAGCAATTTTCTGAGGCATGAGACAGGACAATATAAAAAGAACATTAAGGAAAAAAGTCCTATTCCAAAATGAAAAGGAAAAGATCATTTAGCATCCCTGTTGGTGTTATCTATTCATGAGAAACAGCACATTTAACCCAGAATGGGATGTAGGAAGGGCTCTGAAGCCCTCACCTTAGGGTCATCTTCAGGCAGAACTCATCTATCTTCACTGACACAGATGGCGGGGGCAATGGAGATGAGGATGCAGTGAGAGACACTTCAGAGGTGGGCTCCACAGGGTGCAGAGGGATTTGAGGGAGTGGGGGTATGGAGAAGGTCAAACATGAGTCCCAAGGCACTGGCTTAAGGGATGAGAGAAGGGGCACCATTCTCCAGCTTGGCCACCTTCCTGTCTCCCTTCCTAAGGCCCACTTGGTATCTATTTTGTCTTGGTTTCTATTTTGGACTGTGCTGTTGGAATTCAGCTCCTTGAGGTCAGGGATTATGACTCCATTCTAGCCCCCAGTGCCTCTACCCATCCATTAAAGTTGGGTTTTGGTTATAAGCCGTAAGACCAGGAATCTTGGGCACAAAAGTTGTGAGAGGCCATAAGTGTAAGAGTGCTCTGTACCTGTCCAGGCCAGGAGGACCATTTATGGTCCTTCTCTGCCTCCCCATGTCCTCCAAAGTAGGATACAGGTGAGTCCCCCCGGGAAGACTGTCTTTCTCAGACTGTATTTTGCTCAAGTTGAAGGGGCCATGAGGTTACTCCTTGGTTGCTCCTGAGACAAAGGAACCAGGGTCTCTTTCTCTTCTGTATTCCATCCTCCTTCCTCGTCCCCTGTTCTTTGCCTTCTCTCTTGCTCTTTTCTAGCCCCTAATTCTCTCCCATTTTCATCTTTCTCTTTCTCTTCCTCCTTCCCTTCTCTATTCCCAACTTCATTTCTACTTTCAATCTAGTATCTTTCTTTTTCGCCTATCCCCAAGCTTAGGAAAATAATTTCAATTTAACTTTTTTCTCTACTAAAGAACTAAGAAAAATTTTATACAAAGCAGATTTAAGCTGTCACCCACCCTGTCCACCAAGACCTGGCCAGGCTCAACAGCGGTGAATTACATGACCAAGATACTTGTCTGATGATTGGATTCTCTGGTGTTCCTCTACCCCATGGTTTGCTCCATCAAGTTCGATGTGAGCTTTTCTAACCTCACTTATAGCAACCATTATATTCATTGAGTTCTTTGCAATAAGAACGTTTGACCCAAAAACATCTTCTCTCGCTTTCATAATTAGAATAAAAGCCTGTTTGAGGTTTCATTGCATATTCAATTTTAAGTGTTGCTTCTCTCTTTTCATTAGATATGTGACAAAGAATGGCATTACTACGTCATCAATGTGGAGTTTCCTGTAGTTATCTTATACATGGATGGAGCAACATATGAACCCTATCTGGTGACCAACGACTGGCCCATTCATCCATCTCACATAGCCATGCAACTTACGGTCGGTGCTTGTTGGCAAGGTAACTCTGCGTCAAGCCCTTCTCCCTGGCCCATCCGTGTACAGTCCATGAAAGGTACTGAGAGAAAAAAGGGAAAAGCAAATGATGTGAGAATGAGCCTAGAAAATTTATTACCCCTTACTAATAAAACAGGACCTATAAAATAAGGATTAATCCGGACACTAAACTTGTGTAATAATAAGCACTTGACTTGAGACCAGATTTTGATTTTAGATCAACATGAGCAATTTCATGGTTGCCTCTGAGTTGTTAGTGCCTTTTACCATTCTGGAACCTTCTCTGATTTCAAACTGGGGCTGTCTACACAGAAAAGGCTGAATGTAGAATCCCATATCAAAATTGCCATTTGACTCTGTTGAGTGCTAATCTGGAGCCAAGGATCTCCTTTTATCCCCACACAAGTTGTCCAAGCCCCCAACCCCCTGCTCGGGGAGCTTACAAATATGTAGGGCTTTGGGGGGTGTGTTGTCTATCGGCATGAGGCCATGAGAGGCCACTGTCAAGCTCAGCTCAGCTCTGAGCCCCTTCCCCACTCACTAAGGACAGAGGCTCCTTTCCACAGAGTTGCCTTTCCACTAGAAGGTCTCTGCCCCCTCCTCAGTTCCTCTGCTGCTGTTTCTCCTCCAATCACCAAACTGGAAGGCTAATCTCCTCTTTGGAAGCAGGAAAACCAGCTCTTTGAACATACATTTCACCTTTCTGTCTTTCACTCAGATCTGTTGGAATCTTTGTTCTTGCTCCCTTAAAAGCTGGGGTGCTTTGAAATACCAATGAAAGAACAGAGGGGAAGAAAAATGCTCCCCATATAAGCAGATTAGTACCCTGAGATGACCCAACCTCATGGTGACGGATTCTTTGAAAGTTACTGAGATGTGTGACTCTGACCATTCACCATGGGAAGCTGAGGGGAGAGGTGGGCTGTGGAATAAGAACATGCCTTCAGAAAACCAGCTGACCAAAGAGTGAGCTAGGGGACATATAGACCCCACTGGGTTGAGACAAAGAGTGGGTGCTGGACCACACCACGCAAGATAAGACGGAAAGATGCACACGTAGCACAGCCTGGGAGCACTAGGGATACAAAACCCAGGAAGGAATAAAGCACAAATGAGGCAAGGGAAGAGAATATATTTTTGACCTGGGTCACTGACGACATCTGACATATGTCACATGATCCTGAAAAGTTCATTGAACATTTCAATAGAACTTGGTAAGAGCTTCATCAGTATTGCTGAATTCCCCAGGAATTCAGAAAAGGGAGACTGTCATCTGGCGAGAGTCCATGAAGCTAATTAGTGTGGCAAGCCACTGATTCAGAGATTGCACAGGAATCATTAGTCACTGAACACCGCGCTGGCCCTCTCCTATGGCTCAGTGCCTCAGCCAGACACCACAGGCAGCCTGCGGATATTTTGGAACATAGCCTGGATGCCGCGCGTAAGTTAAGGGGGCCCTGTGCTGTCCTCACTATGAACCTCACCATGACGCTTCCCTTAGAGGCCCTCAGAGACCACATCGGGATCCCTGTCCCCCCAACCTGTAGTGGAAACATGCCCCCACCTCTACAAGGCCAGTTATAACCGCTGCTGCCCAGTTGCCTGTCCTCTGGGTGGGGAAATAGTCCCACCAAAATAAAAAGTGCTTTTATAAAGAATTAAGATGACCTCTCAGAATCAGTTACCATAGGCTAAGTTGTGCTGCAGTGACAATCAAGCCCCAATTCTCAGGTACTTAAGATAATTCTCAGTTTATATTCACTGCACATCAGTGGGGCTCTCCTCTGCTCTTTCCTCAGTCTGGCACCCAAGCAGACAGAGCAGCCACGTTGCTTTGTACTACGAAAGAGGAAAAAGAAAGCGTGATGAATGGTGCATGAGCCCTTACAGCTTTCACCTACGAGTGACACCAATCATTTTTACTCACATTTTATTGGCCAAACCAATTCATATGTCCGCCCCTAACTCCAAGAAGGCAGGGAAGTAAAAATCTCCAATGTGTCTGGAAGAAAACCTGAAAGTATTTTATGAACAGCACTGATGAGCACCATGGTCTGTCCACTTAGTCAACAGATACTTGACTGTCCATCCCACATAAAAAACACAACCACCCTTCCCTAAAGGAGGCAACCCGGAATGCCACCTGTTACTGGCTCCAAGCTCAATGTCCAGATTCTCTGAGTGATTCCTGATGATCTCTCCATCAGGCTGAGAGGCGTAGGTGGCTCTCTTCCTCAGGACCAGATGTGACTCCACTTGATCTGGAGACCTATACATGAACAGGGAGAAATACCTGCTGCCGCCACAACCATCACCCCCTACACACACACACACACACACACACACACACAGTGCAACAGTGGAACAGTGGGAAAAGGCAGAATAACCAGAAAACATTTCCACTAAGAGGAAGAATTGGAGAAACACAGCAATCTTTGGTCACTAGCAATTCTGAAATCCCTCTGGGCAGATGCTTTAAGGGCCCCTACCCTAAGGTGGGGAGTGTTCTTTGTCACCCCTGACTCCATTTTCTGGGGTGTTTCCTTCTCAGTATTCTCCTAGGCCACATCTAAAGACGGTGGCATCACTCCATAAGTAACAGCACTAATACTATATCTGATAATAATTTATTTAAAAGCTATTTCACGGGCGCCTGGGTGGCTCAGTTGGTTAAGCGACTGCCTTCAGCTCAGGTCATGATCCTGGAGTCCCGGGATCGAGTCCCACATCGGGCTCCCTGCTCGGCGGGGAGTCTGCTTCTCCCTCTGACCCTCCTCCCTCTCATGCTCTCTGTCTCTCATTCTCTCTCTCGCAAATAAATAAAATCTTAAAAAAAAAAAAAAAAAGCTATTTCACAAAAATGCTTTTAAAACATTAAACCAAAGCATAGGTTTATTTTATTTTTTTATAATTTTTTTAAGATTTTTAAAATGTATTTATTTGATAGAGAACGGGAGAGAGAGTGAGAGAGAGCACAAGCCAGGGGGGCGCAGCAGAGAGAGAGGGAGAAGCAGACTCCCCACTGAGCAGGGAGCCTGATGCGGGGCTTGATCCCAGGACCCTGAGATCATGACTTGAGCTGAAGGCAGACGTTTAACCCATCCAGGAGCCCCATCATAGGTTTATTTTAAAAGAATGTGGGAGAAAGTGCCTGCGAGGGTGTTCACCACCGAGTATTTCTGCCCCCTTCCCAGAGAGATGCTGGAAGGTGTGATCAAATGACTTGCTTTGGCCAATTAAATGTGAGTGGGAGTGCCTGATTCATTTCCTGGGTGCAATTTTAAGAGCCCATGTTGCAAGGAGGCCCTTTACATATCTGGGTATTTACAGTCAGTCCTGTGAGAAAGAGCTAGGAGTCCCAACGTGTAGATAAAGAACCTGAGGCTTTCAAAGGTGAAGTAGCTGACCGTAGGTCACCCAGCCAAACCTGCCTCACCCCAGGTCTTCAAAGCCTGTCTTCTCCTCACTGTGACTTGTTCCCCCATTGCTGGTTGATCATTCCGTTGATGTCATTATGTGTTTGGGAAAATGCAGGAGCTGATGCATAAACCTTCTGACACATCTGTCAACTCTGGAATTAACCCACAGCAACCCTGCATTCCACTTGCAATCCCTTGCTATATGCTTCCTTAAGTGACCCAAGGAAAAAGAGTTTAGGCTTTAGAGTCAGAAAATTTTGAATGTGAGTCAAACCCCCATCCTGCCACTGCCTAGCTGTATGGACCCGGCAGAATCTGCAACTTCCCAGAGCAACTACATTCTCATCTATAAAACCAGGCTAATTGCAAGGAAGAGATGATAGGTATGTGGAGCATGCTTGGCACGTTTCACTTGAATAAATGTATCCATGGGAAACCATCTGCTGGTCCCCTCCTCCATCCCTTCTCTGCTCCTTGCACCTAAGCCCCACACGGCAAGCATGGTATGCTCTGTGACTCCAGCCTCCCCGTGGCTCCTTGCGTGCATGGACATTTCTCCCCTTCCCCAGGATGAACCCTCCCACACAGACCCTGCTCTCCCGGGTCCATCTGCAGATCAGAAGGAAGGTCAGTGAGGCGGGAGGATAGCCAGTCAGAAGATGAGTGTCGGAACACGGTGTAGGCAGGACCCTGATCACACAGTCTTTCAGGCCATGGAGATTTGGGTATCTTCCCTGAGGAGAAAGATAATATACCGGTAAATTTTCAGCAAAGGAGACAATCCTTAAGAAGCTTGAAACTTGGGCTTTCTAGGATAGGTGAGAGTTCAGCAGGAAGATAAGGAAGGCAACAGCAGGGAAACTTCACAGAGGCCCGTGCACCGTGCCCTGTCACTGGGAGGTACAGGGCCTGGGAGGAGTGCAGAAGAGGCTGGGGGGTTGTGACCATAAGACGCCAGACTGCCTTGTGAGGGAGCTTGGACTCGCATCAAGACTTACATCCTCCCTGGAGCCAGGCTTTGTCTTGAGAGAACACGTCAGAAACCCTTTCTGTGATATTGAGAGCCCACGATGCAGCCCTTATGTGGCATATTCCTAACTTCCTTCAGGCCGCTTACAGGCATATTGTAAGCCCGCTGGGTGGGCCTCTAATTGCCTCTGGGCCTGCGATTGCGGGGAGCTTTTGAGGTGCTTCTGAGGTTGGCAAGGAAACAAGTTCCCATCTGTGAAATTTCCAGTTGGGGTTTCACAACGCGGATAGGAAATAATTTGAGAGCAGTTGCTCGGTGGATGCTCCCGGGAACGGGCTCGGGCGCTGTTGCTGGGCAGAGCTCCGCAGCCCCAGTTAGCCGGCTCGGTCCTGTTAGTGAACTCGAAAGCCAAAGTAATCAGTGGAACTTCATTTTCATTGGTGTTTTTTCCAGTAATTAAGAAAAAAAAGAGACTTCATTTACACTTAAGAAATGTTGCCAGTACAGCCTCCAGCTTGTATCTTCATTGTAGAGAAAGGCTTTGGCGGAGAGGATGGACCTCGCATCACAGAAGAGTCCTCTGCCCCTCCGCGGCCGTCGCACACCGCCCTGCCT